TATTCTTCTGGCAGCCTATGGTGCTTTCAATATTCTTCTCCAGCACATTAATTCAAATGCATCGATTCTTCTTCATCTTCCTATCCCATGCCCAGTGTTCAGTTCTATGAGGCAATTGAAATTACCAGGGCTTGGGTCAGATGCACCCGAGTCCTCAAAGTAACTTCTCTGCTTTTTCACACTCTAAGGAGGTTTTGTGCAGCAGATTTACCCAATGCAATGTGTTATTTGATCTCTTGACTGCTGCTTCCATAGCACTGATTATGGATCCCAGCAAGACGAAATCTTTGACAACTTCAATGTTTTCTTTTTGTACTATGATGAAACAACTTACTGGCCCAGTTGTGCAAAATATTTTATTTTTTTAGAGTTGCAATTCATATTGATGGCTGCAATCCTTGATCCACATCAGCAAGTGCTTCAAGTCACCCACAATTTCAGAAAGCAAGGTTGTGTCATCTGCATATCTCAGGTTGATAATAAACCTTCTTCCAATCCTGGTGCTACATTCTTCAGATAATCCATTTGCCCATATGTAATAGGTATGGCAAAAGGATGCAACCTAAACACACACCTTTCCTGATTTTAAACAATGCAGTATTTCCTTGTTCTATTCAAATAACTGCATCTTGATCTATGCACAAGTTCTGCATGAGCACAATGAAGTGTACTGGAATTTCCATTCTTTTCAAGACTATCCATAGTTTGTTATGATCCACAGAGTCAAATGCCTTTGCATAGTCAATAAAACAAAGTAAACATCTTTCTAGTATTCTCGGCTTTGAGCCAAGATCCATCTGACATCAGCAATGATATCCCTTGTTCCACTTCTCTATTAAGACCCTTAATTGTGAGTATAGTTTGTGAGTTCGGTGTGGCCATTGCAGTGACTTACTGAACCCCGCATAGAAGAGTGCTATGGAAGGAACAGTTGGTGTCAGATAAATAAGGAAAGACGGAGGGTAGAGACACGTCTGCCCTGAGCTTTGTGGCAAGAGGGAAACCAGAGGTGGGTAGATGTGGCCTTGCCTTACTGTTGTTTTTGCAGTGGCCTTGTGTAACGGTACCAACGCCGCAGAGGGCTTCCTAGATCACCTCGTTAGAGAAAGAGATTGCTAAGATTTTTTTCTTTTTTGCCAAGCTTTTTTTTCTCCTGTGGAGCTGCTAGAGGGTTTGAACCACTAACAAGTCTGCTTGCAGCCAAGCACTTAACTGTTTCATTAACTGATTTTCTCTATATAGATCTTTCTTGCTCTCTTTCACCTAGGATCTCAAATGTTCATGAGAAAAATCCCATCATATTTCCATTCCATTTTTCCACAAACCTTCCATTCTAGTCAGTAGATTCCTTGAGGGTAGGAATGATGTCTTTTAATGTGTTCTGAAAGTACTGAGTCCAGTCAGCACCTTGTATATGAATAAATAGCTATTGAATAAATATAATACAATCTTGGTTTCTTCACAAGATAGTGAAGACAAACAATATGACTAAACTAACTTAAAGTGTTCAGAGTAAATTCTTTGCACAGACACAAAATATATGACTTGGTTCTATCTTTTTGCTGTTGTTATATCTTTTAGGAGTCCCTTCCTTTAAAAAAAAAATCACGGTTCTATAGCCCTCCCCCCGACCCCTCCCAGTGACAAACAACAGAAACACGGGTGAAGGGAGACAGCGGATGTTGTAAAATATGAAAATAACAATAAGTTACAATTTATCAAGGGTTCATGAGGGTGGGAAGGAAGGGGAGGGAGGGGGAAAAAATAAGGAACTGATACCAAGGGCTCAAGTAGAAAGCAAATGTTTTGAGAATGATGATGGCAACATATGTAAAAAAAGTGCTTGACACAATGGATGGATGAATGGATTGTGTTGTGATAAGAGGTGTAAGAGCCCCCAATAAAATGATTTTTTAAAACATCATGGTTCTAAGCAGTAATTATTTTAAAAATTAGAACTTTACAGGAGTAATATGTGCATTTATGACAAGCTTGGAAATTGGGCTTCAGAGTTGTAGAAATATAAGGAATTTAACAGTATGCTTCACTTACAAACGTTTTTCCTTAAGACACATGTTACAAGAGAAACTGCTCATATGAATACAAAAGATGGTGTTGCTTATAGCTAGTATTAACCCAAAGCAAATTTGTTCTTCAGCTTCCAGCCTCAATTTTTCATATATTTTCTTTGCAGTAGCATTGGAATCACTTACATTTTCTATTATTATTAAATACATTCACAAATATTTATTGAGTTTATATACTGTGTGCCAGGGACTGATTTAAATGATGGGAATATAACAAAGAACAATCCCAAATCACTGCACTTTGGAAGTTTCATTTCTGGAATGGAGACAGATAATAACGAAGACAAATTGATGAAGCACACAAAAAACTAGATAATGTTACGTGCTAATGGAAGAAAAAGGCAGAGACAGGTGGAAAGGAAATGCAGAAAAGGTGTGGAATTTAGATAGGGTGGCCAAGAAAGCCTCACTGAAAGGTTAACATTTAGTTTTATTCCAGGGCATAAAATGAATGAGCAAGTTGCATGAAAAGGCACCCTGGTGATGCAGTGGACTGCTAACCATGAGGTTAATGGTTCAAATCCATCAACCTCTGCAAGAGTCACTGCGAGTCAATTGACTCCAGGGTACTGATTTTTTTTTTTTTTTTTAGATTTTAGAGTTCTGTGACTATCTAGGAGGAAGAATATTCCAGGACAGAGGATCACAGAACAGTGCCCCCTTGAGCTACTTTGACGTGAGACTGTACCTGGCATAATCACAGATTACCTGAGTTGCAGGATCCCCGGTGGCACAGTGGTTAAGCACTTGGCTGTCACCAGCTGGTTAGCAGTTCAAACTCACCAATCTGTCTATGGAGAAAGACAAGGCAGCTTGCTTCCATAAAAATTTACAGTTCTGCTGTTGCAATGAGTCAGAATTGACTCCATGGGAAAAGGTTTGGTTTTTCAGGTTTCCAAGGTGACCAGAGGGTCTGGAAAAGGGAGTGAAATAGAGAGGAATGAGATCCAAGAAGTGATAGGACAGTAGGTCACAAAGAATTTCACAGATAAGGACACCATGGTGTGTTTTGAGAACAGGAGTGACATGATCTGATGTTTTACTCAGACCACTGAGTTTTGAGCATCATTCAGGCAAAAGAGATTGGTGGCTTGAACCAGATGACTAGTATTGCTGGGAAGCTGCTGGGCTCTAGATATATTTTGAAGATAGAGCTTACATGATTTTCTCACAGAATAAGAGGTAGATTACCTGCTATTTTTATTAAAATTAAATGTCCAGTTTCTTCCTAATTGATGAAATTAAAAAAAAAACAATTCAGGCTATCAGACGGTTCTAAAAGTATGATGGTCTTGATCAGCTTTTCTTTCATTCCCGGTATGTGAAATACACCTCCATTCCTTTTGTCTTACCTTCAGTCCTGAAAACACGGCCCTCGGAAGACTGGCATTGCCAAAGGGATCTTGTCATGCGCTTCTTACAGACTGTATAGTTCTTCATTTCCCTTGCTATGTCCTCAAAGTCTAGCCCAGACCCTTGTACACAATAAAAACAACAGCAGCAAACAAGCCCACTGCCATCTAGTTGATCCCAATTCAATTTACAGCATCCCTAAAAAAGGTTTCCAAGATTGTAAATCTTTACAAGTGTGTCTCACCAGGAACATCTAGTGGACTTGGATGTTAGCAGCCCAATGTCTAAACCACAGCAGCACCAAAGATTGTTTGCAAAGGGTTCTAACTTAGTGATTCTCCGCACAAGACAACGTGGAACTGCATCATAGGGGTACCAAGGCTGAAGTCCTCGAGAAACAGGTGGCCTCAGCTTTCTGTAGTGTCAGCACTCACTGTGCCACCACTGCTCCTTGTCAGATGGCATAATCTCTACACTTCCTTGTATGTTCATATTTTCAATGCGAAAAGGAATAGAGTTAGTTGAGGAGTAACATTCCGTGTCCTTTACATTAAACGCGTGTTTTCTTGTATTTTGTCCAGCCTGGGCAGGAGGAAGCTGTTGCAGTTGGCTTCAGTAAATTTTCCTACTGTAGTGCCCACTTCCATGGATGGATTCCAACTCCCAGCGACCCTGAGGACAGAGAACTGCCCCGGTGGTTTCCCAAAGTGTAAATCTAGGGGAATAGGCGGCCTCGTCTTTCTCCCAAGGAGCTGCTGGTAGTTTTGAACCGCTGTCGTTTAGGTTAGCAGCCCAATGCAAATCCCACGACATCACCAGGGCTCCTTTCTGTAAATATTACAGCCTTGAAAAAGCCGATGGGGCAATTCTAGAGTCGCTTTGCGTTGAAAAGAGCTTGGTTTTTCTGCGTTTGGTTTCTGGTCTGTGTAGGGTGGTGGTGGGGGTCGGGCGTGGGGTGTCTGTTACCCTGACTCGGAATCTACCCGACCCAAAGTTTGCATCTTTAATCCAGCTCAACCGGCCGACTGACTTCCTCGTCCGAGCATACGGATGCGCGATACAACCATCAACGTTGTTTTAGCTTTTCCGCAACCTTTAAAACGCTGAGGAGAGCCAGCTTGGCGACTCTCAGCTCAGACTTGAGTGTCATACCACCCTTGTCTTGTGTAAAGCTACGACGGAGTTAAACCCCTGAAAGAGCTCACAAATGTCAGGGCGAATCATGGGTCCAGAGGCTGTATCCAGCAGGTGCGACCCCGCGGGCGGCGACCACAGGCCGGAAGCGCCGGGGTACGGCGTGGCGCAGTGCACGCCGGGAGTTGTAGGCAGGCGAGAGGAGCGGGCGCGGAGAGCCCGGGCCCCGCCGCGCTAGCGCCCCCAGCGGCTCTGTGAAGCGGAGTGTTCGCGCACAGCGGGCCCTGTTTCCTAGCAACGGGAGAGGCAGCAACGTCACGGCGGCGGGATCCAAGCACCGTTGCCCACTGTAGGGCCGCCTTCCACACCTTCCAGTAGCTGCGAACTGGAAGTCGCGCCGCGTAAAGCCGTGTACCCTCACGTCCGCCCTTATCATCCCTATCCTGTCCCACGAAGCCGCGACCGGCCGCTGAGGCCAGGGCCGGAGCCAGAGGCGGCCTGGGTCCCCCGCAGCCCGCCACCCCGGCGTCGGCGGGACGATGTTGGAGTCGATATGCGTAACCGGTGAGTTCCGAGAAAGGCTGGCTGCGCAGTGCTGGGGATGCTGGGGTGTCGGGAGATAGGGGGCCCGGTGGACAAGGCCCCCCTGGGTTTACGAGGCGAAAACCCAGGGATGGGGCGAAGTCCAGGGACGTGGTCACCACGTGCAGGTGTGACCCGGGTCCTAGAACAGCGGAGGACTGGCTCGGGGGGCCACTGGGCTGCTTGTGCAGGAAAGAGGAACCGTTGCCTTTGCCTTTTGTCGGTTAGCATCAGCATGAAAACGCTGTAGGATATAGTGAAGTCGATTCTAAGGAGAGAAGGATGACTGGTCCTACTCATCTATAACCTAAATAGTGTTCAAGTATAGTTCAGACTGTATTTGACGCATAGCTAGGCGTTACCATGTCCTAAGGTTTTATGTTCTAGAGTGTTCAGAAAAACCAGAGCTCGGCAAGAGACCAAATTTCTATCCATCAGTACTTGGAGTGTGTATGAGGGTAAGTCAAAAAGTATTGCTACCGCAGTTCCAGTCCATACAGGCACGTGTGTATTCCAAACAAGACAAGTCTCAACGTTTCTCAGCAGTGGATAGCTGCAGCCAATGTCTCCCAGCAATACACTTGTCTTAATCTTCTGGAATGCTTTTTTAAAAAACCCCAATCATTATGGTGGCTTCCAAAAGGAGCTGCTACGCCAGTTTATCTGTTCAAGGCAGACGGGAAGCTGAGGGGGCTATGGTGTTTTAGATTTGAAAAGAATCATCTTGATAGTTTTTCTTGAAGGACACGGGGCAGTAATCAGGGCTTATTGAAAGCTGCATGGGGCTGGGTCGGGGGGAGGCCAGGAAAGGTGCACTGAGGATTTGTTTTCCACCAAGACAATGCATTTCCACCATCTTCATGGATCGCAAGTGCTGTCCTATGAGAATTTTTTTATTTTGAGAAAGCTTACTCCATCCACACTGTAGCCCCAATCTTGCCCCTTCAGACTTCTTTTTGTTCCCCAAACTCAAAGAATATGTAAAGGGCACTTGACGGAGTCCTTCCGGGACACCCAAACTACCCTTTTGACATGGTGTAAATAGATGGATTCTTCAGGGAAGGGTTAGAAAAGTGGAGCCACTGCTTTCCGAAGCGTATAGATCTACAGAGAGGATAGGCTGAGAAGCAATAACTTCACATGTTGACATTTCTGTTTAATAAAGATTACTGTGATTTTATAGGGATATTTTAAATGTTATCCTCACATATTTGTACATAAAGAGCCCTGGTGATCATTGGTGTCAGTACTCATCTGCTAACCAAAAAGTTGAGAGTTCAAACCAACCAGCAACTCTTAAGGAAAAAGATGGGACCTGGAAGGCCATTGGGGGCAGTTTGAGTCTGCCCTATAGGGTCGCTATATGTTGCAATATATTATCTGGCTATGGGTTATATTTGTACATATCCCTTTCTTTCTAAGTCAGTGAGACCCATTTGAGATCATGTTATATATAGTTCATGTTATAGTGTGCTAGACACCAAGTTTAAAACATAGACATTAAGATCCTTGGTTTTAACATTTACTTGCCTTTTAATATTGTTTTTAACAACTATGAATATTAGCCAATTAGGATCACTTACATAACATCACAGTAAGTAACGTCCTAGGCTATTTTTCCAGCATTTGATTCAGTGTGATAATAATAAATTTTGCAAGACAAGGTTCCATTTACATGATCAGGAATAACAGAAGTACAACCCAGTAAAGATCAATTCCTAATCTTTAAATTAGGATTAAAATAAGGTCAGAAATACTAACTTTAAGGTATTGCAGTACCTATTAGACCACCTATGCATTTCTTTTTCATTGTCAAACTAAATTCCTTTCCATTGTAAATAAGTAATATTTATGGTCTTAATTTTACATTATTTCCAGTTCTATTTTATAAAATATGGAGCTGATTTTATACAACCACAACATTGCTTTTATTTATCTCATTGCCATTTATATTGGCAGGAAGCGTAGAAGTTATAGGATCCAAGATCTACCAGGCCACTTAAATTAGCATTAGATTTTTTTTAAATGTGATTTGAAGTATATGATATTTTATATACCTATTTATTTGAATATATGATGAAAATATTTTAAATATTTACTAAAATTGCCACACCCTTTTATGGCTTAGCTGGATTTCTGTCTCTCAGCCTTGGCACTATTAACGTTTTATTCATAACTATCTGTCATTAGGGCTTGACAGGTACTTGTAAAATGTTTACCAGCATCCCTGGCTGCTAGCTGCCAGTTGTATGGCTCTTGCTGTTGTGGTGACCAACAATGCTTCCAGACATTTCCATGTGGCCACTGGTAGAGAACTCTTTTGCAGAAAACTATAGTTGGATCCTGTCATGGTGTGGCTTATTCGATAAAGATTCAGCAACGACATAGATTAAAGTTATTTTCCTAAAGCATAACAATCATGCAGAGAGTACAATTATAATCAGTATTAGAAAATGGGTACTCTGACCAAATTACACAAAGTAGAGCTCCTTATTCAACATGTGGAGTTGGAAATTTTGAGGTGAAATAATTTCATAAAACAGTAGATTCATTCCTCTTTCCTTAGCTTCCTTTCTATAATTTAGTGGCAAAACACTTAGTTGTTAGACAGATCTTGAGATAGTTTGGCAATGAATTTCTGTATTACAATAAAGATTCAGATAGCCATATGAGACAATTCAGGCTCCAACTTTGCGCCTCTTTAAAATAACTGACCAGAAAATTACTCAAAATAGCTTTTACATTTATTTTATATAGCATTGGACTATTTAAAATTACAGTCCAAAATCTGCATTTCATAGAAATATCAGAAAGCCCACCGTGGTCAGCCAGAAACATGGTAAAGAGAGTTTAGCTGAAAGAATTATGTAATTTCTCCTTCCTTCCTATATTGTACATTAATACTCAAAAAGTCCATGTTCTATATGTTAGTAAAAATGCATCTCCCTCAGCATAAAAAAGGAATAAATACGTAACAAACTTGTTATAGTAGAAGCAATTACTTAAGTTTCTCCAAAACAATTTCTTGTATCTTATCCATCTTTTATTTTATCTAAAATAACAAGAGAACTTCAAAATTTTGTCTTTAGTGATCGTGCCAGGAGGGTGAGCATCACAGAATGCCAGGTTATTAGAACAAAATGTTCTTGCATTGAAAGAGGGTATGGCAGAGGCCCAAAGTCTGTCCACTACTTCAATGTATTGCCATATAAATATATGTACGTATGCCAATACCTCTATTTTATGAATTTATTTATATATTTAAACACCTATGTTATACGTGTATCCATAGCTTTGCTTCCAGATCTTTCCTCTGTTTTCTTTTACCTTCCTCCTGCCCTACAATCATGCTTGCTCTTCTTCTGCTTCTTAGTAATCCTCTCAGCTAGATTGCTGCCGCTCCAACGCCTCCAAGATCTCTACATTCTCTTCCTTGTTGCTTTTAATTCCATAGTTGTTCCCCTGTCTATGGTGTCTTTGTTCACTGCTCCTTTCCCCTGCCTCCTCCTCCCCACAAGTCCCTCTGGAACCATTGGTCCAGTTGCTTTCTCCTTGAGCTTGCTTCCTGTGTTAGACAGGGTTCTCTAGAGAAACAAAACCAGAATGCTAATAATTTTATATATATTTATACAGATGGATAGATATGTAACATAAGAAATAAACAGTTAATTAAATTATGAAGCAGTACAAATGGCTCAGTGCAACTCACTCCCGTTAGACAGTTGTGAGACACTGGCAGTCCTTCAAGTCTTGAGGGCCACCGGGTAGCCCTCTGTAGAGCAATTCAGACTATCCGGCTACAGGCAGCAAACAGCAAGACAGATCACCAACAGTCAGCCAGATGACAGGGTCCGACAGTCCCCAGCTCAAGAGATGTAAATTCCAATGGTGTGGCGAAGCAGGTCTTGAAGGAACCTTGAATTACAGCGACACAGTCCACGGGTTAGGTGTCCCACCGGTAGTGTGGCTTGCAAATTTAGGCACAGAACAAGCAAGGCAGCCACACACTGGTCCGATGATCAAAGAGCACGAGACAAGAAAGCCGAGGCTCGCCAAGCATTTATCTCTCTGCCCTTCAATTAATCCCACATGTGTTTATTGGCCAGGTTGGTCCAATAAACTAACTACCTCACTTCTCAGGCCTATCTTATATAGGTAGGCAAACCAACAACCACAGAGACAAAACAAAAAGAAAAATGATTAATCAAAAGAGATAATAATAATAATAACTAGCAAAAAAAAAAAACCCCTCCAGACAGTATACATAATTCCAGGTCTGTCTGCTGACCTTTATGAATAATTCCCCACTGGTCCTGGGGGAAATCTGAGAACTTCCCCTTCTAGCCTGATGTCTATTTTTGGGGTTCCTTGGGGTCTTTGTGGCTTGGCTTTGCTCCTATTGCTGATCTGTTATGTTCCGTTCTTGGTTTGCCCCACTGAGGTGGGGTTCAGACTGGACTAACTCCCTACCATGTGTCCCTAGTATTGTCCTTTGTTGTGGTAAAAATAGTAATTTGTTTACTCCTCAGAACAATACAGTATTATTATCTTATTTTACAGATAAGAAAACTGTAGCACAAAGCAGTTAGCTTGGTTAAAGTTACACAATTACTAATAAGCACAGCTAAGATTCAACCCGCAAAAGTTCCATTCCAAAGCCAATCTGCAACCAAGAAGGTATAATACTGAGTATGTTACAATGACTAAACGCTGATTTAACCACAAAATTCACCGTCAAGATCTCATTTAACAGACACTCAAAGATGGCGACTTAGATGTATTGTGCTATTCTACATCAAAGACCCAGGAAACTAAATGAAACAAATATAAGTGATAATCTTGGAATCCTGAGCATCAAATGGAAAGATGAAGAATTAGGTAGAATACCAAATGGGAGAAGAAATAGAATAAAAACAGTAAACGACTGAAAAGACAGAGTGGAGGTTCCCTGCCAGCTAACCAGCGCAATGTGACCATCTTGA